TCCTTATACCCTCCCCCTCTCATCCACTAGCCCACTAAAACCAGCAACCCACCCCATCTCCAAAACTCCTAACCATCTCCTCCTCTTTCTTCTCCACTGCTCCTCATATCCTCCCCCCTCTCATCCACTAGCCCACTAAAAACCAGTAAAACTTAACCATTTGAATCTCTCTCTCTCTCTCTCTCTCCAAGAGTTTGAGGCCTGGTGTGTGGCTGCCCACAAAGGTGAAAATTAAGATTGGGAATGCAAAGAGTGACAAAGCTTGGGTTAGGGCTCCATGTGATGGGGATCAATATGGCATTGCTGGAAGGGGAAGGAGCCCTTCTCGTTCTGTTGATGGGGCTTAGAGCATTTGAAGCTCAGGGTTAAGTTCTTCAAATGGGTGTTGTAGCACTAAATCAAGAAGGAAGAATATGTGACTAAGAATTCAGTGACATCTCCGATTTGGAAAGTTCAAAAACCAAGCAACTCTTCCTCTCTTTCTTTTCTGCTCAGTTACTTAGATTTTTATAACAAGGTTACTGTGGTTACCGATCACTCTTTTTTTTTGGTATTTTTCTTACGATTTTATGTAAATGGAGATTGGGCATTTTTGATAATGGGTTTCCTTTGTCTCTTATCAAAGGAGGATTTTGTTTGTCTTATAAAGAAAAGAAAAGAATCGCCATTATTACCCGCTCGCTGTCTCTCTACTTTCTCATCTATGTAGTATGCTACACCAGAGGACCATCTATGGCCCAGTGCTGATGTTTGTTAATCTCACAAATGGTGGAAGGGCTATAGAAAGAGATGGATGCACAATTTAAGGGTAGAGATACTGTATATAATCAATTTTTTGGGTGATAAGCCTTCAGGACTGGCTAGAGCCTCTAGAGAGCAATTCGGGCTCGAGCCCAGACCGAAAAATTCAGTGCCTGGGCCTATTCTACAGAAATTTGGGCCAGGCTGAGGCTAGGATGCCAGCCTGTTGGTAGCCCTACAAAAAAGACTAGATTGATCATTGAGCTTGCATCTAGGAGGAACAAGCATGTACATCTCTAGTTGCAGGTTCCCATATGAAAAGGTAGTCTTAACATCTAATTGATACAAGGCCACTTCTCCACAACTACAACTACTGGAAGAGTTTGCAATTTCTACGAGGGTGGTTTAATCCAGTTCATCATAATCAATGCTCATAACTTTACCATAGTGACAATGAGCTGATACATTAAGAAAAAAAATATGAAAATAAAGTTCTTTTCAAAGAAATATCGTTATTGCAGATGAAACAGAAGTTGAAAGGAATTTGCAGATTGCATATGAAATAAATGGAGAATAAAAGACCACGGGGAAAAAGGGGGTGGTGGGGTGGAGGAGGGTTCCATCAATGCTATTAAGTAGATCACCAAGGGATATGTCTTCCATGAGACAGGAAGACATCATAAAGGAAGTAGGCTCACCTTTTTTTTTTTTGGTCTGTAATGGAAAGCACACCGTCTTATATAGCAAAAATTTCCTTTCACCAATGGAGAAGTAACCAGATAATAGAGAAAGTATAGGGACATCTAGCCTTTTTCTTTTGAAGCGGCTGCAATGAAGTCACTTCCAATAATTTTCTCCTTTCAACTTTTTTGGGTGTCCTTTTCTCTTACTTCTTAGAAAAAACTGTGTAAGACTCTGTCTGTCTAAATACTGTGGTGGAAGTAGAGGTAGCCAATTTGGCAGTTCAGTACAATGGATAAAATAGTACAAAGTACAATGACAAAATGTGACAGCAGCAATCCTTTCCTAAGGGAACTTCCCAATCAAAAAAAAATTCATCCCCAGAGCACAAAAAAGAACCTATAGGGTAGTAGCTCTCAATTTATTAAAAAAGGAATCTTAAAAAAAATTATGGATAAGACTACAAAAATTCTAGATTCACAATGGCATCAAGCTTAATATATGATACACCACAATAGAGATACTCAATGCAATACTAGAATTATTTTGGTCCAATACTTTTGTGAGAGAAGATACTTTTCTGGAACTTGAACCAAAAGTAGTAATAATGCAAAATTGCATCACTTAGTATACATATTATAATTATCTTCGCGATGTAAGATGAGCATTCAGACCATAGTTACCAGGATCTTTCAAATAGGTGGCAATCCCGCTCTGGGATCTCGCTCCCGTGCTCCCAAAAAGGGATCTCAATTTCTATTCCCACAGTTAGGGATCTCGATCCCAACATTAAAGAATAAGACAACAACCAAACTAATGATTTTCTTTACTTATAGCCAATTAGCAATACAACAATAGTTTTAATATGGTCGTATTGCTTGCGGGCAATAAATAAAGAGATAACTACTTTAAAGAGCACATATAATCCTAGATCCCAAAAGGTCAAGATCAAGATCCCCAAAAAGCTTGGATCTCGATCCCTAACATATGAATTGCACGGATAATGCTCCCAACTATAGGGATCTTCTAGCATTTCACAACCCCCAGTCCCGATCCTGATTCTGCTCCCAGTCCCACTCCCAAACCCAACAACTATGATTCAAACACAAAGAGATGGGGAAATTGGGGAACAAATAAAGCAGTACAAATTGTAAAATAAAATACAATGTTGTGTAGGAATGGCAAAGATTCTGATTCAAATCGCTCATTAACATCTAATCCATATCGAAAACCTCTACATTACTGATGAAGAAGAAAAGACCAAGATGGCTTCTTTCATAATTATGAAATGGAAAATGAATAAATCAAAAGGCACAATTCACTTAAAGATGGTAGCATCATAGTGAACAAAAGGATGGTATCGACATAGGACACTATAAGATTTGCAAAAATACAAGAAAATGATCCCAGAAGCTAGTATATACATGGAAATATGATGGGTCATAATGCAAATTGGACCTTTTCCCAATAATGGTTGACATCCAAGAAAACTACGATGGTCATGGACCAATAATTGCAAATTTCCAATATCAGTAACCAGAAATGATGGGACTAGAATATCAGAATAGATAATAATGAGATCTATGAACAGTAGTAACTATGTTGACACTCCAACAACAAGTCCAAATCAATCCACATCTCACATCAAGCAGTTTCAACATGAATCCAAGTGAATTGCATCGAAGGAAAGTAGCCCAAAACATCATAAACTGTTTATGTGCTTGAACCTGCTCAGACCAGTCAGAAATCAAGTAGCTGATGAGAGGTTATGCAAATGGAATACTAACCCACTGTTATATTCAGAACTGTTATTCACAGTTATGAACATTGGCTCGGTGACAAGAAAAAAGAGAGAAAAAACAGCAACTCAAAACAGAGTCCAAAATATTTTTACAGTCAGTGCCAGCTTTGGATCGGCATCATGAAGGAACGCTATAAGAAAAAACAAAAATGAGAAAAGATAAAAGCAATAAATGAATATGAGACTCTCCCTCATGGTTCCAAACTCCATCAGTTGCTTGAGACACACCTAAGTCAACTTTATTCGACAATTAATTTAGCTGATTCCCCTTTAACAATGAAAAGGGTAAGTTATGGCCATGTCTCAAGAGAATCTACAGAATCAGTTGATCAAGTCAAGTTCACTCACTGAATTGGTGACTTTGCAGTGAATTACGTACAAAATACTGAGTAATACCCATGCATAAGACAGCAATTTTGACTTGGGCAGCACTGAGTCAACTAGATTAAGGGACCTACCACAAGTCAGTAGCCGCGTGAATCATACGAATTGGCCCAAGATATAAGCAGTCAAACTATGCAACATCCATCAGCAAAGGAAGTATAAAAGCATTAGTTATTCAAGTACATTAGTTCAACACTCAATATACGATATAAATCAAGCAAACAATCACTCATATTGATACTAGACCAGTTCAACCAACAGGCTTTCTCTAAGAGCACCCCATCAAGTTAGATGGACACAGTTCACCATTTAACAATCCATCCTCTTAAATTACATGAGACAATATGGACAAAATGGAGAAAGACTCAGAAAGACTGCTTACATAGTCATTATTGGCATGAGCGCACAAACAACGGAGCAAATCCGTGAGACATATCTAGGAGGCGGTGTGATCCCTGCAGTCATACCTTGACTCCGAACCAGCTCAAAGTACTCCCTGGCACCAACAAATACTGCAGCCGAAAAAGTCAATGTGAAAACCCATCCTCCTGATAATACAATTCCACCCATTAAAGCACCCATTCCAAGTCCAAAAGTGACTCGATTCTTAAACTGGCTTCCTTGATGCGGCAGCTCAGAAGCCAAATCATGGTGCTCATTAAACCGATCCACTTTTCCTGGGAGACTGTAGATTTCAGCACCCTACATGACAATAAATCTGAAACATTTCACTCAACAATACATTTGGTGCCCTTATTCAGCATAAAACTGCTAAACAAACAAATTTTGTAAGGAAATCAAATCAATTACAGCATTCTCTCTCATGAATGATGAGAACCTTGAAGATTCTATTTTATCAATTCCTTTCCAATCAAAGCTACTGCTTAGCTTTTCCAATGCATATCAATGCTCTGTTTGGGAGGGATGGTACTGCATTCCTAGCAATTTTTTCCTTCTTTTTTTTGGGGTAAAATCTAAGAAACTCCCCCATCCACCACCCCAAACAAAAAAAGCACTCTCTCCTTCCATTTCAATTGTACAGCATAAATTGTAGAGACTCTTGGTGCATTAGCAAAATTAGGGTGTGGTGCTCCAATCTCAGCCTAAAATTTACTATGATGTGTTATTATTTTATATTTGTAAGATGAGGATCAAGAAGGTTGACACTACAAGTACTAAAAATAGAAATATAAGTTCAGCGACCCAATTTAAAAATAAAAATAAATAAAACTAAACAAAGGTATGGAAGGAATCTTATAATGCCGTATCTTTGGCAAAACAATCAATGAACAGATAGGTTACAGAAAATTTACCATCTTTCCAGTCTGGTAAAAGAAAAGAGAAATACAAAAAAAATTTGAGAAAGGTTAACTTTATAAATATTAACCTTTATAAATAAATATTAAGTATAGATTATAGTAAAGCATTATAGAAGGCATCCCAGTAGTTGGGTGCTCAAATTACAAGACACTGGAGAGAAAGGAGAAAGAATTTAAAGCCGAGAAATACAAGAGGGGCCAAGAGGCAAGGGAAAGGCAGTAGCAGCTGTATCTGTGAAGAGGTGGTTGTCGGAGCCGTAAACTCGCCAAAGGCTGAAGCGTCATGAAGAGTCTTAGTGTCTTACAGTAAAAGTATCACCTCAAAAGCTGAGTGTCTCATCAGAATCCTGCAAAAAGACTCAGAGGGGGAGTAAAGGGATGGAGGGGAGGGTGGAGAGATACTTGCTTAAGTTTGGGAGAAATAGGGGAGAGAGGGAAGAGAGGTGATAAGTAAAGGGAAATGAGAAGAGGGAAGGGATAGAGGGAGTGAGAAGAGTTTACAAGCAAGAAAAAATTAGGAGGAGGGGGAGAGGAAGGCATAGGCTGTTGATTGGGGAAACGAATTGTCCCGTAAAAAATAATACTATATATTTGTAAAAAAAAAATTTATGTTTTTTCGATGTTTTAAATTCATCTCCCGTGAAATATGGGAGGGGAGAAGGGGAGAAGGGGAGAAATGGAGGGGGGTGGAGGTGGGGGTGGGGGTGGGGGGTGGGGGAGCAAGATTTCAAAGCAATAGGGGCGCACCTGTGGCTTGGCAGCACCTTCCTTGGCCAACATGTCTACTTCTGAGTTGGATGCTCATGGAATGTTCATGAATATGATCAATGGGATAGAGCTGCAAAGGAAGTCAATATGTTCAAAGATGGCGGAGAGATGCCATGGCAGTTGGTGCTAGTGTGAAGCCCAAATAATCGAGTTGCTGGAGTCAGATTCTACAATGAGCACCTGGAAAGTCAGCCCTGCATGCAATACTTTCTTGAGACCTTCTAGGAGTGGTAAGAACTCAGTGGTGGTTGAGTCGGAAACCTCAATGTGTTTCGAGAAGGAAAGGAATACACCATTAGAGGTTGCCAAGGTGCCTCCTATACCAGAAGGACCAGGGTTTCCTAGAGAGGAACCATTTGTGTTTTAAGATAACCCAGCAGGGAGGGGGGGGGTCCACTGGGTTGTAACTCTGATAGCAGGAGAAGAGAGATTCAAAGGACATCCCAGTTGGCTAGAAAGTGGGAAATGGGGATGGTGGCAAAACCAAGGATGAGCTTAGCCCAGAGGGAATTCAAAGCTGTTATTGAATAAAAAATAGAGCGACGACACCTCGAAGTGTCTCTAAAGGTTTTGGAATTCCTCTCTAACCAGATACTCCAGAGGAGGGCAGCAACAGACAGTTGCCAAAGTCGTTTTCCTCGTTTCGTAAAAGGTGAGGATAGAGAGGTGATGAAGGGCTTTTGTATTGAGGGGGTGTGAACCACTGAAGGCCGAAAAGCTTGACAATAGAGGACCAGAGACCAAGAGAGACCTCACAGTGGATGAAAAGGTGTGAGATGGTCTCCTCGTCTTGAAGGCACATAATGCAGCAATTGGGCAAGGAAAGCCCTCGGCGCTGCAGTTGGTTTAGAGTTAGGGTTTTTCCTTGCAAGAGGACCCAAATGAAGGCTTGAATTTTATGTGGCACCGGCATGGACCAAGATTTATTGAGGAGGGGTTCAAGGGACAAGTTTGGAAGAAAGGAAGAGTAGAAAGAGGAGATACCTGTGGGGTTGGGGGTCCAGATGATAGAGTCTTGACAATAAAGAGTCTTGACAACAAAGGGGGCTGAAAATAGGAGCAACCATAAGGAGGAGGGAGTTGGAGTTCAAGAAGAGGGATTCCTGGTCAGTGAGTCTTCTCCTGAAAATGGGGATGCAAAAAACAGTTCACCCTCTAAACTCAACATAGTCAGCGACAGCAGAGTTAGGTGCTGGATGGTGGAACAAAGAAGGGAAAACTAGCCTGAGGGGTTGATCTCCATACCACGCGTCCATCCAAAACTTGATTTTCTGACCGTTCCCTAATCTAAACCTTATACAACTAAGGTACGCAATTTTACTAAATGTGATGCATTTCCAAGCACCCGAGGTTCAATGGAAGGGAGATCTAGATAACCATCCATCGTCTCCGAGTCCATACTTAGCCTGGATAACATGTTTCCACAGAAGATGATGGAGGGAAGTGAACATCCACCACCATTTGCCAAGCAAAGCAAGGTTCATGATTTTGCGATTTTTGATAACCAAACCACCAAAGTTTTTGGGGGTGCAAACTTTGTCCAAGGCCACTAGGTGGAATTTACTACTTTCTTTTTTTTTGAAAAGTGTGGAATTTATGACTTTCTGTGGTCCCCAACAAGAGAAAGTCCCGCATAAGTTCCACCAATCGGTGAACGTCAGAGGTAGGAATTTGGAAGAGAGACATGTGATAAATGGGATTGATGGCTAGGGTCGATTTGATGAGGCCAATTCTTCCTCCGAAGGAAAGAAACCGACCCTTCCAGCTGGCAAATTTCCAATTGAAGTTCTCGATTAAATTGTCCCAGAGGTGTTTTCTAGGTTTGCATAAGCAAAAGGGAAGGCTTTTTGTGGAACGACCTAGATGTTGAGCAAGTGAGTATAATTCTCCATTATCTACTAGAATACCCACCATTTTGCTTCTAGATAAGTTGACATTTATACAAATCAGGAGAGAGAAGCTTCTAAGGAAAAGCCATAAACTATCAAGTTGGTGGGGTTGGGCCTCACAAACAATGAGGGTATCATCTGCGTAAAGAAGATGGAAGAGAGTCGGGCCATCCTGAGATGCCCTACTTCCCGTAAGAAGCAAGTCATAGAGTCTAGTGAGAAAAGTTCTCCTATTAAAGTGAAGAGGAAAAGCAAGAGAGGATCTCCCTGCCTTAGGGCCTCTCGCAGAAGAGAAACAACCAACTGAAGTGCCATTTTGGAGGATGGAAAGGGAGGGGTCAAAGGCACAAGCTTTGATCCAATTCCTCCATCTTGAGCCAAAGTCCATTCGATATTGAATGAGGTCAAGGATAATTCAGTCTACCCGATCATAACCTTCTCCCAATCCAGTTTGATAATAAGTTCCTTTTGACCAAGAAGAGATCTAGAACGGATAGCTTCATGAGCCGTAAGGGCACACACCATTCAGAATCCGTCTATTGGCAACAAAGGCAGATTGGGTAGGAGAGACTACGGAGCTGAGTACCTTCTGGAGGCGAGTGTACAAGAAAAACAAATTTTGATCTTGGATAGTTTGAAAATTGAAACAATTAATTGCAAATCCACAGTACACGCATATATACTGGAGGAGCCTCGTAAATCACTACTGTGAAAGCAAGCATCACATAAAATTAAATTATGAATCCCAAAAAAATCAATTTGAATATCATTGTCATCGTCCCAGCCTTGTTCCCACTATTTGGGTTTGGCGCAAAAACAAATTCCATTATTGCAACCCAAAGTTTCCAAAAGTGAAAACATGGAGAGAGTCAAGGATAGAACTCCAACTACCTCTTTGGCTCCTAAACAAGCTCCGGTAAAAGTGAAAGCCCACCTTCGCCCATCAGACATATGAACATGAACTCTTGATCTATTGACAACAAGACGCAGTTTCCGCTTCATAGGCCTCGCATATACAATATTTTCTAACAGACGATGATGTTGGTGAGCACGAAGGGATGTAAGGGGAATTGCAGCAATCCCTTCCAATAGAACATGCCATTATCACTGAAACAATGTCAATAGTTTGAATTGTGAGTTAATTGAAACCGCAACATCCTATCGCCCTCTCTCGTAAAATAACCTGATTTCGTCATCCACGTAACATTTGCAAAGCTTCAGATTATCTCAGATCGGATATAGAAAAGGAGTTTTCGAAATGGACAGAAAATGGGAATAATGAGAGAGGAAGAGAGAATTGCAGAGCGAGTGAAAGGGCGAACCGGTGAAATGAGAGGCGAACCAGTGAAATGCGAGCCCAAAGTTGCGATTTAGGAGAGAGTGAAAACCTCACTGAGGGAATGAAAGAGGGAGAAAAACAGAGATGATTGAGCGCCCCGATAATAACATGAAATGTGAAATATCCATGGCAGCCGTGCTCCAGTCGATCCGACTGGCATGGGAGAGGTTTCGTGGTCCCGGTGAGCCGGTTGCATCAGATGTCTTCGGCTATGGGCCAAAAAAACTTTCGAAATGGAAAAACGTTTTGATAGAGTTACGACTTACGACATAGGACAAAAATCGATCCCGAACGCTTAACCGTACGTCGGCCGAGAAGTGTTCAACCGGCCTAACCACTATTTAAGACTATCACAAACTTTCTAGCATATTTTTAATACTTTTGGAC